CTGAGGCAGCTGAAGAAATTCAACCTATCACCACAGTCAATGAGGCAGTTCTACACTGCTATCATCGAGTCCATCCTCACCTCCTCCATCACCGTGTGGTATGCTGGAGCTACCACCAGGGACAAGAAGAGGCTGCAGTGTGTCGTGCACTCTGCAGAGAAGGTCATTGGCTGCAGACTCCCCTCCATACAGGATCTGTACACCTCTAGGACATTGAGGCGTGCAGGTCGGATAATAGCTGACTCGTGTCACCCTGGACACAGTCTCTTCGACTCGCTCCCATCTGGCAGAAGGCTCAGATCCATTCGGACCAGAACCTCTTGCCACAAAAACAGTTTCTTCCCCTCTGTAGTTGGACTTTTGAATGAAAATCTTAGGGCAGCCCACTCAAGTCGATTGGTCCCAGGCACGTGACCCGATGCTGTGCTCGAAAAACACTCAGATTAGTACATACACAGGGTAGATAGCTGCTTCTCTAATTCTTGCCACTTTTTCATTAATAATTTTATCATGAGTGTTTTATTACTTCCTATTTTTGCTCATCTCTTAATTTATGTTATTTATTTTTTTTTTCTTTCTTACCTTCTGCACCAAATACCGCAGCAGTTTCCTAATGTTGTGACTTGGCACACATATGGCAATAAAAACTTCTGATTCTGATTCTCTTTGTGCTGAATGCTTAACGAGACATGCAGGCAGATTTCCAACAAGAACACGCACGCCAAGGCCGGATTATAATAAGGGCAAACTGGGCACAGGCCCAGGGGCCCACAGCCACAAGGGTGTAGAAGTAAAAAGCGATCGTTCATGTCGGCTCATTTCCTTTCATGTTTTCTGTCTTTTATTTGTGCCTGATGCGTTTCGCTGCTGTGGAGCGGAGCACATCACCTGTTTTGTCCTCCGGCTCCGCACCTCACTGGTGTGGCCGGCGCGCACTCCGCTGTTTTTGCGGTGGGTAGATCTTTTAGAACTGCAGTTCAAAGGTTATTCATAAGGTGAATATATATGAATCCAGGTAGCAGTTTTTCTTTAGGATTGAGAGGAGATGCAGGAAGATAATAAACAGACAGGACAGAAAAATAGTCAAATAAAAACAAGTTCCTTTTTGTACCTGGTGGTTGCAACAAACAGACACCATTGAAGGTAATCAGAAATGAGGAACAGATTATGAAATAATTATTTTAATGTTTAGAGCAGCAGGAACTCTGAGAGGCTGCAGGCACATCAGAGAGTTTGCGGCCGCTGCGCAGAGGGAGGGGGGAGAGGGCTGAAGCGGAGCAGTATAGATGCAGAAACTACCGTTGTTAAAAGAGATGTGTTTAACTTAGAAAATGAGGGTGCAATTTTAATTGTCAAAAAGTCCAGCGAAGAACAACCCCCCCCCCCCCCCCCCCCCCCCGATTTTCATTACTTGACGGTCGACTTTAAAAAAGATTGTCATGAAGCCCTGAGGAGATAAGAGGTGGAAGGAGACAGGAGACAAACAAAAAACATGCAGATATTTCTTCTTTGCAGACTTTTCAATAACTGTATAATCTTTTAAATAATCCTGCATTACTTTCTGTGGTAGTTGGACAGTGGTATCTCTTTTACAGCAGACTCTTGCCCCCACTGTCCCACAGATTAACAACATTTTTGTTAGTACAGACAGAAGAGAAGATAGACAGGAGCACTGTGAGGAAGAGAGAGGGACAGAAAAAGAGGAGAAAAGAGAGGACAGAGGAAGAAAGACATATGAGTGAGGCACAACAGGAAAATCATCAGGCATGAGTGTTTGTGATTAGGTTATAAAACTATTTTGACCTGGAGGTAAATGCTTTTGTGTCAATATAAGTAAGAAAATTTTAATATTGACAGTGTTTTGAAATGTCTTAAAAGTGCAACTGGGTGACAGTAATGTTGGGGGAGGTGGGGGGGGGGGCTAGGCACATTGTGCCCAGGGGCCCCTGCAATGATAATCCGGCCCTGACGCGCATGCACACACACACACACACACACACACACACACACACACACACACACACACACACACACACACACACACACACACACACACACACACACACACACACACACACACATAATGAGCCAGAGAGACCGAGGCTTCTCCATCTACTGCACGGGGTAACACTGGACCTGTTTGTTGAGTCTTTTATGAGCGAAGCAAACAGTTTTTGTATCCGCCAGAACTTCCAGCTTCTTCCTCCTGACAAAACACAGCTCTGTTAGGCTCAAGGATAAAACATTTGTGATTCTGTAAACTCAGGACGTCTCAGACTCACCGCAAACCTCTGAACCACAGCAGAGATCATGAGCTTAGAATAAAACTGTTGGGATTTTTTAAATGCCAAACCTGCAGCAGTACTGTAGAGTCTATAGGGAATGGGGTAATGTTTTTATTAATTAGCTTGTGAATCGAGTTTCTGCTGTCACTGGACTTTATCGCTTGACCAGCTCGGTTATTTGATCTGACTGTTTTGTCAATATGCTTAAAATTAGGAATAAGAATGATTAAATTGCAGAAATAATGGATGCTAGCAAATCTATACTTAATTTATTAAAATAAAGGCTGTCATTAAGATTTTGTTAATGCATAAATTAGGATTTATGTTAAATGTTTCATATCTGCTCACATTATTATGCCAGATCAGTGAGTTCTCCACCTTTAGGTGTTCATTGTGTTTGTCTTGTTCTAATGTCCCCTGAGGGCTTATCCCAGGACAGGGTTTAGTTGAAGCTTCTCCTCACGTCTCAGTGAAGGTTTCATCTTCCCAAAGGCTTTGAGTGTTGTCATGGTTGATGGCTGCGCATTATCCACACTACAGCAATACAATGATATTCTTTTGAACATCAAATAAAATATTCCTATAATTCCAACTCTTCAAACTCCATTAACAGTACAGTTTCTAATTCATTCAGGTTGCTCTCCTGTGATCTGGTGTCCCTAACAAGCTTCACATGCTTTATTTGTTTTGTTAATCCCAGAGTGAAAAGGGTACAGCTGAAGGATGTGCGACAGTCTAAGTGCACGCCGGTTACAGGGACGTTATTTATCCAGCTGGAAAATTAGAAGGGTTGGAGAGGCTCTTTACAATAAGCCCAGGCCTCAGGTAACAAAGCAGGTGATTTCGTTTGAATACGCTCACAGCATCAATACAAACACGGACAGGCTGCCATTGTGGTGGATCAGTTGGCCAGAGGCCACTATGTTCAGTTTGGATCTCAGGAATCATAGTGCTGGAGCATTAGTCACTGAAAAGACACAGCAGTCGTGTTTTATAATAACCCGTCAACAGGAGATAGACCTGTGTGTGTGTGTGTGTGTGTGTGTGTGTGTGTGTGTGTGTGTCAGCAAAATAAAGGCATAAACCTGCAGGCAAATTTTAATGGAACTTAGGAAGTAATCCAATTCAAAATGGCCGCCACACCTAATCATCCATAGCAAGGCCAAGCATGCTGCAAATCAGTCTTACAGATATTTAGCCACAACTCCATACTGGGATTGCAAATGAATTGAATGACATTTTTGTGATTTTGTTTTCAAGAGTCGACCAAAACAGCTCTAGCTAGCTAAGGTGGTCTTTGTTAAGACAGCAGGGAAACATAGAAATCTAACTTCTCTTTGCTTATGCGTGATGTTTTTAATGACTGAATGAAAAGCACAAAACCAGACCACTTTTATATGTCCTATCTGAAGTTATGCTGCACTTTTTTGTCATTGAAGAGTGACTGATGACACTTCTGCACTGGAGGAGGTGGGAGTGGCCTGTCTTTCTGTAGCGTGCTATGTGAGACAACGGCTGTGTTCGAGATAAGCCAGTTCTGCGCAGGTTAGATCAGTGGTGATCGGCGAGCAGTGCATGCCGGTTAGATGTGTGTCCGACTTGACGCCGACTTGCTCTGACGTCATGCATACGTAGGCAACGATAACCTCGTGAGATCAAGGCGGCCGCAGATTTTGGAGCAAGGCGCTGCAGTTGCTCTCCACCGGCTGCAAAACCTAGAGGATGACGGGAAACGCCTGGCTCTCACCTGATCTAAGATCTGATTGGTTCATATTTTGATCCAAACATCCGGTGGTAGAACACAAAATGTTAGTTGGTCACATGTATTCTTTAAATCATGTAATGTTGATGATGACAACTATATAGGCCATAAAGAGAAATGTGTTTTGTGTTCTTTTGTCACGTTTCCTATGAGCACACTGAAGCTACAGCTGCTAACCTTTACTTATTATTACAGTCATGTCTTCATATACAATATATGATATCCACAAGCATGTGAGGATGTGTTTCAGCTGCTAACAGGCACCAGAATTAAAATTCAAAATTAAACAAGTGTGAACGCTAACGTGATATCTTCAGCCATCGTCACCCGCGAGCTACACATGCAGGAAATTGTGTCCGACTTAAATTTTGGCTTTCAGCCACTCCCCCTGCTGCTTCTGTCTGCTCTCGTCTGTTTTCCAGGCGAGGCGCAGCTCAACTCGAACACGGCCAATATGACTTTTTCTGCTCATGTGGACCACTTTATGGCCACATTGTTCACACTGGAGTCTGACGGTGGTTGTATTTAAATTGTGATGTAAACAACCACTCGTAAAATCAGATCTCATAAAAAATGGAATTGAACATCAAGACCTACAGGGCGAATTTGGCCTTGGTCAAACAGGCAATGGCCTGTTAGGCTCCTGGTTTATTTATTTTCCAGATTCTTCTACATGCAGAGTACCTTTAAATGCAGCAACGTAGAACTGTGATTGTTTTAAAATGTTGTATCTGAGTTAAGGTCTTAAAGTTAAACCAGTGTGTATGTAATGGTGTTAGTATTTGCTTGTTGTCAGTACCCTAACAGTCTTATCCTTGAAGCTGGATGATGGATGTCTTAAAGCATGCTGCCTTAAAGAGCTGATTGGCATTAATGCATTGATGTTTGGAGCATTAAAGAAACAGGAAATTGTATCATTGCATGGATTAATGTTGAGTATCTGTCTTGTTTAGGGAGTGGCACTCATCTCTCTCTTCTTCATCCTGGTTTCCATCACCACCTTCTGCCTGGAGACTCATGAGGCCTTCAATGAATTAAAAAATACTACACAGCCAGATGTCACAGCCAGCAGCACAAAGGAAGAGGTGATGCCTGAGATGGTCCCTTACCCAATTTTCTTTTTGGTGGAGGGCGTCTGTGTGGTGTGGTTCACCATTGAATTCCTGGTGCGTATCATCTGCTGCCCAAACAAAGTGGTCTTTGTTAAAAACACCCTTAACATCATTGACTTTGTGGCTATTCTGCCGTTTTACTTGGAGATGTGCCTGAAAACCCTGACATCCAAAGTTGCCCATGACGTGCTTGGTTTCCTCCGTGTGGTGCGGTTTGTAAGGATCCTCCGGATCTTCAAGCTTACGCGCCACTTTGTTGGCCTGCGTGTTCTGGGTCACACGCTGAGGGCCAGTGTCAACGAGTTCCTTCTGCTCATTATCTTCTTGGCTCTGGGGGTGCTCATCTTTGCCACCATGATTTACTATGCCGAGCGCGTCGGAGCTGACCCCAGGGACCCCACGCAGACCAGCCACACGTACTTCAAGAACATCCCCATCAGCTTCTGGTGGGCAGTGGTCACCATGACAACGTTGGGCTACGGGGACATGTATCCAAAGACATGGCTGGGCATGATGGTAGGGGCTCTGTGCGCGCTGGCTGGCGTGCTGACCATCGCCATGCCCGTTCCTGTCATCGTCAACAACTTTGGCATGTACTACTCACTGGCTATGGCCAAGCAGAAGCTGCCAAAAAAGAAAAAGACGCACACGTACAACCCAGACGCCCCGACTGACTCGGCTTCGTTTGTGAAATCGGAAACAAACTCACACATAGACAGCACTCAGAGCGACACGTACCCACTGGCTGCTGAGGAGAACATCAGCAGGAACCGCTCAGGTAAAGATGTTGCTTAACCTGATTCTTCCTTTACCCCTTCAAAGTGATAATTAGCTACTTTTTCATTTTTTTAAATCATTTCCTTTAGCCAGTATGTGCCAAAATGACCCTTTATAGGGTTAATGAAAAAAAAATTCAATTCAAGTTTATTTATATAGCGCCAAATCACAACAAGAGTCATCTCAAGGCACTTCACATAATAAACATTCCAATTCAGGTCAGTTCATTAAGCCAATCAGAAATAATGTTTCCTATATAAGGAACCCAGCCAATTGCATCAAGTCACTGACTAGTGTCAGTGACTTTACAGCAATCCTCAAACTAAGCAAGCATAAAGCGACAGTGAAGAGGAAAACTCCCTTTTAACAGGAAGAAACCAGAGAATCCTGGCTCAGTATAAGCAGCCATCCTCCACAACTCACTGGGGATCGAGAAGAGAAGAGAAAAACACTCAGCCCTTATTGCCCCCTGTGGCCAGAATATTCCACTTGCAACTTCAGAGTTACCGGTCCTGTCTGTTGTGACTTGGCCAAAAAATGAGCTGTCATACCTGTCCCTGAAGTCTGCTTCCACCGCGTTTCCTGCATGTTTTAGATCATGAACTCCGCTGATTTGTTTAATTTAGTGATGAACCACTCCTGTAGACACTAATGAAGGCTGAGGAGACATTTCAGATGTTAAATTAAGGTGTTAAAGGGCGTGCTTTCATACTTCAAAACAGCAGGAACATGCATCACAGCTAGTTGTAGTGATACATTTCACAAAATATTTCTGAGAAAAATTGTCAAAGAATAACAGTTTCTGCAAATATTAAGTTCTTTGTCATTGGGAATAGTTAATAAAAAATTCCAGTTAAATATATTTTTTAAAAATGCAATAAGCTCTGACTAAAAGTTAAACCGTGTGTCTTTTTTTGTAGGAAATATTAGAGAAATACTTGAAAACATGCACATATTCAACAAAAATAGCATCTGCAGCTGACTGCAGCTTCTTTTTTAAGTCAAGTTATTTCATCCTTTTTAATTACGTATCCTGATATTTATATTTTCCATTTGGTGTTTATTGTCTAATAGCTGCTGTTTTTTTGACTTGTACATTCTTAGAGTTTCTCTGACAGATGACCTTTGTTCAATCATAAAGACAGCAATGGATAACAATTAGATTACTCCTCATTGCATCTGAGTCAAATTGGATCTCTTCACAGTGAAATGATGGTTTTATGTAATATACCTCTGTCTTTGGGTCCTCAGGGGACTCTCGGTAAAAGCTTTGGCATTTATGTTGTCGTACGTTTTAGTCATCCTGTCAGACTCCAAACAGAATGGGGATGCAAATGTGGCCCCTTCAGATGAGGAAGGCTGCAGTATGACCCAGCCGCTGTCCCCCAGTGAGAAGTGGTCCCTGCGGTGTTCTCGAGGCAAAGGCAAGAACAAGAAAGAGGCCACCTGTTTTCTCCTGACATCTGCAGACCCCAACATCCATGGTGGTGAGTTACAGACATAGCAGTACAGACTCCTTTTGCTGTTTCAAAGTCAAAGTCAGTTTTATTGTCAATTCTACCACATGTGCAAGACATACAGAGAAATGAAATTAGAGTTTCAGTACACACAATTCAGAGATCAGACATACATGGGCAAGACACATGACAAGAATTGGTGACTGTGGTCCTTCGCAACACGAGTCGCGCTTAAAATCAACGTATTAAACTGGATGATAAACTCAGTGTGGTGCATCCACATCTTTAGCTTCTTGGCGATGCTAAACCATTTGCATTGTGGCTGAACAATGCAATATTTCCAAATTTAAAGTTGTAGTTCACTGATAAACCTTTTTTATTAGTTCCTTTTGCAATATGAGTGTTCACTTTGAGTTTCACATGCTTGTTACCGTGAAAATAGTCTTCTACCTCTATTTTCTGCATTAGCCGGTGAAAGAAAATATACATGGAAACACCCTGGTTAGAAAAAGCCAGAGTAACACTGTAAAATTGCATTCATGGACTCTCCCATCTTAGCTCACGACAGGGAGGGCTGTTGCTGACCTAGCATCAAGGAGAGAGCAGAGCGCATCTTGGCTTGTAGAAACTAACCGTTAGCATTAGCAACTCCATAGCATGACAGAACTTCTTCAGGTTTGTGTTATTTGTGGAGATAAAACAGCAACATTGCACAGCAAATGGTGTCAGTGGTAGAGTCACATTGCTGTTAGCCAATCAGAGGCAAAAAATCCAAACATCATGAATTTTAATGAGTAAATCTCCAAATCGTGCTGTTTTATGGAGAGTGCCAGAGCTTTGCTTCCACAAAGAAAGACTCACAGGACATTTATTTTATTAGAGACCAGGGCAGATTTATTGAAATAATCAGTGTGTGACACCTTCAGGTCAATTTTAAGCAGGTGGCACTACTTTTATCCACAGACCGATAACTGTTTAACCAGTAAATGCTGCAAGGCTAAAATCAACAATAAAACGGGTTTTTACTGTTCCAGTCAATATAACATCAATAGAAGAGCTTTGCGGCACTAATTGCTTCATCTGTGTGTCTGAGAGTGGGAAAAACCTACAAAGTGACTTGCTCTTTAAATTGTTATTTTTAATAAATCATACTGGAACAGCTCACATGTCTGATAAGAGTCATAATATGGCTCAAAATCCAAATTATGGGGCCTGCCGAACAGGCAGGGTCCTTACTGTTATGCACTGACCAAATGGTCTCTTTATTTTTATTATTATTATTATTCCGTATACGTTAATACGGATCGGGAGTGAAAAGTAAAAAAATGACGAAAGTGTGCAGCGGAGCGATCCACCTGCTGTGTTTGCTTTAATCAAGGCATTGTTTTGTTTCTTTTTTGATGAAATTACAGAATATGGTGCAAATTAAAGTTCATTTATTTCAGTATTCAAAGGTTTCAAGCCTTCACTTGCTAGAATTGTGATAATTATGGCTTGCGGGGGTGGTGAGGGGGGTGGTGGTCACCTTTTTCACCCCTGACCTGCTTTCATGTCTGACTGCTTCAGTGCTAAGACCAGTTGTTTGGTTAGTAATTTATATATGAACAATCGCTAACCCTAACCTGGCACCTGGTGTCTCACCATGTCGCCACCGTTTTGTGCCAGATGGCAGGCCCCTTTCAAAATGTCTTCAGAAATTTTCTAGTTATTATTATTATTATGGTCAATAAAACTATGTTATTCAAAAGGATTACTGAATGGCTTGGAAACATTTTTATCAAAAAATTTACATTTTAAAGGGATAATTTGCCACTGTTCATAATTTAAAATCATTTTCTTGAGCCAGTATGTGCTAAAACGACCCTTTACAGGGTTGATGAAAGGCCACACAGCCCTTGTCACCCCCTGTGGACAGAATATTCCACTTGCAACTTCAGACTGGCGGGCCGTTCTGTTGTGAAAATGGAGCTGACATACCTGGTGCTTCAGTCTGCCTTCAGGAAATTTCCTGCATGTTATAGATGATGAACCCATGTCATTTGTTTAATTTATTGATGAATCACATCATCATCATCAGCAGCATTTCAGCTGTTAGATTTGATCCTTTTTGACTCGTGGACCCCCTGATCATCATGAGATGAACAGGCTTTCTTGCAAAGGATCCACAGCTCAGTTCTATACTATTCTTACAGATGACCTCTTGACCTTTACGGCCACTACAATGTCTATTTAAGAAAAAAAAATTTCTGTAATATTCATAATTTAAAAGCGTGAGGATTAAACACAAGTTTCTACTTGATTGCTCCTTCAGGAGTCTGATTTCATTTCGTTTAGGAATGTTGATATTTTTCTAATAAAACAGGAAAATATCTCTTGGCGCCAAGCTACAGAGCATTTACAGAGGTCATATTATGTTTTTACTTTCTTTGTTTTGGAAAAAATTTTCTTCTAATTTCACTTCTGTCGAGTTTCAGAAACATCAGAAGTGTTTCTTTTGACTGCATCAAAAACCGCTATGTTTTGCCTTCGTTCTGCCATCCTTGTTTGCTCTTACTTTTTATAAAAACATAAAGAGTTGAAGTGAGTGTTGCTTGGAACAGAATACAAAAGTGGAATGTGACAAAATAAAAATTTGAATAGATTTTTAATTGATTTCATGATTATTTAGAGCTGAAATTAAAATATTGTTTTCATTGACTTTACAGCCTTAGATTAAAAGCTTTGAAGTTAAATAATAAACAAGTATTCTTTCACTGTGATTAAACAAAGAGCTCTGTAAAAATATTCTAAATACAAAAAGGGATTTCATATAGCTTTGTTTAATGACGCCTGGATTCATCACATCCTTACCACCGATTCCACACTCTTCCCAAATGGGACATTTCCTGAATCCTTTCCATGAATAGCTCAACAGCACTGAAGGTTTTTTTCCTGCCAAAATGCACTTCACTCAGATGCATTTCAGCACAAGAGCTCATTAGCACATCACTGCCAGAGAAGCAGAAACCAGCTCCTAAACGGGGCACTTTACAGCAGCCCGGGTCCTGTGAGAGTTCATATCACCCGTGTTTTTTTCAACAGCCCATTATGCAGACATTACACTTGAATGTATTTCCTGAAAGCCTGATCAGTCCCGAGTGTTGATTAACCCAGCTACTTTTTTTTGCACGCCAGCAAGGCGACGGCATGTTGTGACATGCCATTAAAATGAAATCCTTATTTCTTTCTGGTAGACAAATAAGATGAGGAGGAAGGAAATAGCCTGGGAATAAAAGTGTTTTATAATGATGACTTTACCTTCTCATTTGTTCTGCTTTATTCTTATAGAAGACACCAAAACAACGGAAAGCTGAGCAAAGCCAGAACACCTCAAAACGAATCTATGATGGAGAGGGGAGGAGGTTAATTAAATCTCAGGCTTTGTATCTGGTGATCCTCTGCATCCTATTCAGTTACAGGCTAATATTACACACACAACACATTTCAGTCCACATTATTACTAAAAATAGGGTCAAAATGGACTTTCAGTGTGTTGTTTTGACAGGATTCAGAATTCAAAGTTTCTTTATTTCATATGGAGGCAAACAAAAAGCTGCCTGTGTGGTTTTGCAGCTGTGTGGAGCAGGTTAGATGTAAAACGTTTATGACTCACTGCTCTTCAGAGCGAAGCCCAAAGAGAACCGGGATGCTGGCTGATTTCAGATGCAATGCAATGTTAGAGGTATGGATACTATTCCACAGAGGCGTTATGACGGATGGATGGAGGTCTAAACATGCACTTAGATGGTTATCGGTGACAGGAAGTGGACGCTCGCAGTAACAAGAAGAGAATGTTCCAGCGATAAAAGGCTTCACAGGGATCCTGTTTGTTACAATTACAATTTAGACAAACAAAACAAACACTTTCCAAATTGCAGTGATGATGCTGCAGCAAAAAGAAGGAAACGGATGTTTGAACCAACAGAGAACGTGTTTCAGACGCTCCACTGAATGCTATTTTTCCACTGAGACTCGTTTCAGATTAATTGGATAATTGATTTTTTGTCCAACTCAGGTTTCCAATAAAAACTCAAATTTCAAAAGAATGATTTCTGTCAAAAATCAGATTTTGGCTCCTGAAATAGAGTAAAATTATGTGCATTTTATTTTATTAATTAGCAATAGAAAATACTTATGAACTATTGTTGCTACAAGGTGCTCCTATTGACCAAAATGCAAATTTTGCCCCCTTTTCACGTAATCGTTTTCCGTTAATCCGAAAATAGCTGATTGGTGTCAGGTTTGAATGAACACACTCAAAACATTTGTGCTTTTCTGTGACCGTTTGTGATCCTGTAGCCTCTTTTGGGTAACATTTTGGCAATATGGTTTCTAAGAGGTTGGCCCAATCTCAATATTCACACTTGCACCCTTACGCCCTTCAATTGCGCGTTCCCGGCCAGGGGTGCGAGTGCGTAGGGCGTTCCGATTCTCAAGTGTGGAAGTTGACCACGCCCCCATTGCACCCTTAATCTGCACTTCACCCGAGTCTGCAACGATACGGACCTCGGGCAAGGGTATTACCCACAAGTCAAGTCATTGCTGCGGGAGAAAAGACTCAAGTTCCTTTTCTGAAAATATGTATTTTCTAATGAAATTAGTTGATTTTAGGATAGTTAGTTGACGCTCTGAATGTTTTAGACGAAGCAGCAATGAAGTGAAATTAATTTCAAATAATAGCTTTGTTGTTTGTTTGAAAGTTGTTAATAAGGGTTTTTGAAAACAGTTTCACAGCGACCAGCATCCCTTCATGTGTTGCGATCAATGACGCAATGGTTCCTGTCTCAATTCGGCAATTATTTGCACACTTGTGTACTACGCACTCGAACCCTACTGCACACTTTCTCCAAGTGCACTTTGCTGAAGACCGCAGGGCGCAGTGTGACTATTGAGATTGGGCCGTAGCCTGGCCAGCCAGCCAAAGGAAATTAGCTTTGAAGCTAAGTGGCTGTAGCACTTCCTGTTGGAAGTCAGGGTTGCAACAAAGATCAGAACGGAAGTTGTTTAAAGATCTATCTGTAACAGGTGATATGTAATCTGACCTGAACCTTTAACAACAACGTGAATAATTTCTGATTTGTCTTTCTTAACAGAGAGCTGTAAAGACATTCTCAGTGCGACTGGAAACTTTTCTCAGCCAGAGGTCACCACTCTGACCTGATGATGAGTTACTCGGCGTACGGAGAGGACATCAAGTCTGCTGTTTATTAAATCACAGCTGTTTTATTTCCCCATAAGCCAATTGCAGAACCAGTTCTTCTAATATGAGACAAGTTTTTTGTTTCCTCATGTATCCAAAAGCCTGTAGAACATCAGTTCAGTAAACATATACGCTCGTTTACATTTTGCATGTATTGCATGGTCCAGGATTGAATGCTGTACAAGTAAAGATCTGGCAGAAACTTGTATTCTTGTCATTTAGTGGATACAAAATACAAATTCTTCTCAGTTACTGTTTTATTATGAGCACTGGGCTCCTGCTTATATATTTGGAGAACAAATTTTCCTTCAAAGTTGGAAAAATGTAGTTATTTTTTTTACTTTTTTGTCCCTTTCTGATAGCTGCTAAAAAACAGACGTGTCTGCAACTTCCCTAATTTGTAAACTGGTGTACAACAAGGTTTATTCTGGTATTTATACTGTAAAACTACATTTCTAGATGTCTTTTTTTAAGAGAAGACACATTCCAGTGGTAGAGTTCTGCAGGGTTGAGGAGGCTGTCAGTCATTCCCATAAAAATTAATGTGACGTGATGTCCAGATGACGCACACAGACTTGGACCAGTGGGTGAAGCCACACACTGCTTAATGTGCCTAAAAGTCAGATTGAATATTCTGTGACTTTCAGACATGTTTTATGTGTAATTTATGCTTTTTCATTTAAAATCTGCATTAGAATGAACAGTAAATGTATCTTTGACAGAAAATCACCAGGACACTTTTTCTTTTTCACAATGCAACTTTAGTCCATGACGGCAACTTTTATTAATAACCTTTTATGTCAGCCCCGCGGTTGTTCAACATCCTTGCTGAACTCAGACGCATCATCCTTCAGAAGAAACATCAGAGATGTTGAGTAAGAAGTCTGGATGATCTGGTTTTCCTGTTTCTGCCTCGTATCACTCACCATAAACTCTTCAACAACAGGAAAGTTAAAAAAAATGGTTTGGCTGTATTATCTGTGTGATTTCCTTCATCTCTGCTCAGCTGATGCTTCACTAGTGGCTGACTCTGGACCAAAAAGCAGACTTGATTACATTACAGGGCGTATGCAAGTAAAAACGTCACAATTCCATGGGTGCGTAATGGAGTTTATATGTCTGCAGTAATGTTATTTAATTTGTGTCTTTTTGCTTAAGCTTACGTTGAACCTGTTAAAACCCCAGAAGCAGCAGCATTATTGTCTGTTTAACATTTCCTCATGGTCTACCATAGAGGCCTTATGTTGAATAATAAACAAAAAGGAAGTTTGTGTTATTGTTAGACTATTTCTACACCTAGAGTCTGTTTTTCTGTAGATGCAGCTGTAATTATGTAGCACAGTAGAATATTGTGAATCATTCAACCCTTTAATGATGCATAAAGAGCTGTTAACCAACAAAGAAAGATTATTATTTTGATAATTCATATTTCTAACACCTGTTTTCTGTTTTTGCTGATGACAATTCTCTTATCAGACAAGCACATGTTGATATTTACTCATTATGGATTGTATTAGTGATGAACTAAAGCCCAAACTGTCTGGTCTGTTTGTGTGTGCGTTTGAGAGAGAGAGAGAGATGTGTGTCACATCATGAAGGCATGTTTCTCTATGCAGAAATACAAATAAAACTCATCCTTTTCCTGGTGTTAAAGAGAAGTTGGTGTTATTTTATATTTTCTGTAAATCAAAGTTCCAGCTGCTCAGTCCGTTAACTGTTCAGCTATTTATAAACCAGCTAGCAGACAGCGTTGTGCTGCTCGCAGCACTGTAACAACAACCACAGATGTGCCTCCTGCTCTCTCCAGCGTCTGTGATTATGTGCCAAAGGTGTAGATGGCACACAGAACACGTCTCCATGGAGATCTGGGATGACAGGCAACACTAATTAATGCTCGGCTGCCTGCATCCTTTCTCTCCCTCCCTTTGTCACATGCAAATAAACGCTGAGCTCTTTTTCTCTCATATATACACTCATCCTCTGTTCCTATAAGCAGGATTATCATTACAGTCGCTCCCTGAGAGGAGCGGATGTTTGATGCTTGGGGATGCTTTTTTGCAGCACACTCTGCTGCAGAGGGGGAAGAAGGAGAGCAGCATGTCAGAGGGAGTCGAAAGCTTGAGCAGCACATGGATACGAGCAACAGCTTGTGGTTTCTACCAGAGCTTTCATGAACTTAGAGAGAAAAGCACCAAGAAGAGGCTCTTATTCCAAAAGATCATTAGTTTAGATTAGGATCACAGTTTCCATCAGTTGAGCTTTTTTTTAAAAAAAAAAATAAGCAGATATATTTATTTTTGGTATAGGTTCAGGATTCTTGTTGCTTTCCTCATAAGCACCAAAACTACCAAAAAGTTAATCAGATCTCCAGATTTAACCTTTGAGCTGCATTTCACCTGCTAAAAACAAGAAATCCCCCTGAAATCTAAAATAATTCATTTTAATGATTTTAAATCAATATTTTGTTTGCATAAAAATGGTTGATTTTATTCATTGAATAAAATGTTTTTGTTGTTTAACAGTATAAAATCAGGAAGTAAAGGTTGAAATTTATCCTACTGTGTGAAATCTTAAATTACCAAAAGCATAGGAGGGACACCATGAAAAAAAATTTGCTTGAGGAAATAAATAAAAAAATCTGTTTTGTTGCTCATAGGTTAAAATGATGTTTTCTGCTTTTTAAAACTGTGTAAAGCTTAGAATTACCATCTGACTCATTATAAACAGCCTTTGTTTACATCCTATAGGACTGATGAGCTAACGGCTAGTCTAAGTGCAACCAAAACGAAAGTAGAAAAACGGGTTAATAAAGTGAATCGATTATTTTAGATTTAAGCAGATTTTTTTTCATTTAATTAGATCAACTGGATGAGTTTAATAAGAAAATGCTTTTTAATAATATTGGGAAAATTGCTGCTAAAATGTAAAATCTATGAAGGCCCTCGCCTTTCATGTTCGATTAAACAAAACCCAAATAACCAAACATAGAATTTCAGGCCTTCTATCCCAGGAATAATATAATTTTTTAAATAAATTATTGAAAAATAAATTTCTCCTGTAATTGAAAGGGACTTTACGGAGTTTTGAATTTTTTTGCTCGCGATTGCCCCCTCAGGCCAAAAGTGTAACAGCAGCTTGAATAGTAGGCTCGTGCACAAGGCGCGGATGCTGTACGTGCACACTCCTTAACGAAAATAACAGCTGAGACAGTCAGCTCCGTGTGTGTGTGTGTGTGGCCCGGAGAACAGAGGACGGGAGAACGTGCAGATAATTTGGTTCTGTAACTTTCTCTTCAGCACAGCCGACAAAGGTTTAAGATAGGGGTTGCATGACTTAATTTTTTTTAAAGTCGACAGTCAAGTAATGAAAATCGAGTCGACTTCGACTAGTCGTTGATGACGTCATACACCTGAAGCGGCGCGCGCGGGGGGGTAGGTTCGCTGGAGTTTTTGACAATTAAAATTGCGCCCACATTTTCAAAGTTAAACACATTTCTTTTAACAACGGTAGTTTCTGCTTCAGCCCTCTCCCCCCTCCCCCTGTGCAGCGGCCGCAAACTCACTGGTGCGCCTGCAGCCTCTCAGAGTTCCTGCTGATCTAAACATTAAAATAGTTATTTCATTTTCTGTTCCTCACTTCTGATTACCTTCAATGGTGTCTGTTTGTTGCAACCACCAGGTACAAAAACTAACTTGTTTTTATTTGACTATTTTTCTGTCCTGCCTGTTTATTATCTTCCGCATCTCCTCTCAATCCTAAAGAAAAACTGCTACCTGGGTTCATTTATATTCACCTTATGAGTTACCTTTGAACTGCAGTTCTAAAAGATCTACTGACCACAAAAACAGCCGAGTGCCGCTGCTCGCCGGCCGACTACAACGGGACCGTTTTTGTTGCGGAGTTTGTGCCGGAGCGGAGCGGAGATAGTGGAATTTTGGGGGTGCATCACCGGAGAACAAAACATGTGATGAGCCTCGCTCCGCAGCAGCGAAACGCATCAGACACAAATAACAGACAGAAAACATTAATGGAAATGAGCCTACATGAACGATCGCGTGTTTAATTTGTTTTTGAGGTGGTGACACCTGATTTGGCGGTGCTCAGGACGCAGATGTCTGGAGCGCGTCAACGATCAGAGCTTTGCATGCGCAAACTGGTTAAGATTAGGATGGGGGTGAGGGGAAGGTAAAATTGCAAGAGGGAAAAGGTCACAGTTTGGTTAAATGACCGTTTTACCGCCGGTGTCAGTACCGACGCTCTGGCACAGCATGTCGCCTCCACCTCCCGACGCAGGGGCTCATCAAATCAACTTTATTTATATAGCACTTTTCATACAAAAAAAATGCAACTCAAAGTGCTTTACAGATTAAAATGGCCCCATAGATCCCATACTTCCATCCCAGTCCCCTTCCCCAAGTGATCCTCATCACCTGCTGGAGGACTGCATCTTGTCAGTCATTATCACGTGACAGCGACTAGTCGATGACAGGCATAAAAAGTCACTACAGAGCCGTGAAGTCGACTAGTCGACTAGTTCAAACAACCCCTAGTTTAAGATGGGTCAGTCCTCCTGCATGCTCTTGAAAAATTGTTCCAAAATGAAAGTTGAACCCACATCTTTTTTATCTGTGAATTCAATGCCTTTCGGCAAGTCTCAAATAAAAATTTGGGCATCTTACTGTAAAAAAATATACCAGTAATGTAAAAAGGAAACTCTAAATAAACTATGTTCACATCCAGAATCGAACCCGGGTCTTCTGCACGAAAGTCCGAAGTCTTAAGCTTGGTTTATGCTTGACGCATTCACTTTCCGCGCGGTGATGCGGCTCGCGGATGGAACGCGCTTCACAACTCGCAGCGTTTATGGTTCATGCGGCTTGTCTCTGCGGTGAGCCAATATTGTCCCAAACTGTAGGGGGCAGCATGGAGCTCTACAGCATGCACTCAACACAACACCATAGTAGAAGTAGAAATTACTGTTGTTTACAACATGGCATTCCAGCATTTTTAACAGCTTCCTCGTCTTTTACGACAGTGCGAGCTATTTCTCTCCAAGAATTATTAACAACATGTGGATCACGGTGATCTCTGAGAGCTGAATCATACAAATGTCTGTATTTACGAACCTCTGCCGTACTAGATCTTGCCGGTCCGCCATGTTTTTCCGCGTCCGACCGTCCGCGTGGTTAGAACATTTCCTAGGTGCGCGTTGCGGAAATTGTGGGCCGTGCGGAGGTGCGGTGGAGGGGCGTGGTTGTTAAAATGACGCAATTTCGCCGTGCGGAGCCGTGCGGACCTCGCGGATGCGTCAAGCATAAACCAACCTTAACCAGGCGAGCTAACGTGCCAGTGACGTCACTCGTATCTGTACCATTTAAGAATGGTTTGGAGGGCTATGCCTGAACGTGAACGTGCACGAAGCAGCCTGCTCGACCCAAGCAGCTCTCTTTTTCTGTGATTTTACAGAAAAATAGGCAATCACAGTAAAAATGCCTGGGCTCATTCTACAGGACCAGGGCATTGCAGGAGAATGTTAGCCTAGTGAACTAGACCAAATTCTTGCTTTGCAAAGTTTGGTCTAGGCACGCTCCATTGGAGCCTCCGCAGCTCCTACCAGGGTGGGCTTTCAAACACATAAAGAGCTGTGATTGGTCCATAATGTTGGGCCAATCATTGTGTTCTATCTGCTAAGTGAACAAATCACAGAGCTTTATCCGCTTTGTGCGCCAATCAGGGCACTCTATATGCCTGGTGGGTGGGATGATGCAACAGAGTGAAACAAGAGTATGTCACATTCTTTGTCCAGCAGCATGCGGAGATCTTTTGAAAGACAACGGTAGAACCCGCCCCACAACCGAGAGCCGTCAATGGAGCGTTGCCAGACTAAATAATACATTTATTTAGTCTGGCTTGCCAGGCTAGGAGAATATATGAAGAAGACATGTATTATTTCTATACATGTTTTGGCTATCAAACTTCCATAATGCCCTTTTAAGTTGGGATCTGCTTTAATTTTCCTGCTCAGTTGGATGTTTTAATTTAACTAAATGCCACGTTTTGATTATTTTATCACCACAGAGGAGCCGTCTCCTAGCAACTAATAGATTTCCACCTGAAGGATTCATTAGCGAAGCATCACCTCTTGCTCCGGGAAGTCCAGAGGAATAACGACACTCCGATCTGTCGGGATGTGATTTTGAAAAGCAAAGCACTAAAGCTGAAGGTGAGAAGGAAAAATCGGTCAGGGCTTGTCCCGTTAGCCCTCTGTTCTCCCTTTTATGATTACTCCTCGTTTTATTTTTCCCTTCCTCTCTGTCAAAGGTTGTCATGACAATGATGAGCAGCGTTTCCATGGAGAAGGTCTCAGAAACATTTCATTTTGAATCATTTCATGTGGCACAGTGGAAAAACCAACATCGACTTATTTCTAATAAATGTCTTAGTTTAAGGCTCAAAGAGGAAGTTAAAATCTGAAAAATGGTTACAATATTTCACAAATAAAATAAATGTAATCACTTATCTTTGATATTTAAATCACAGTTGAAGCTGTAGAAACATGAAAGCATTTATATCAGGATACTGTTGAAAGAATGTGTGAAAAAAAAATGACCCAAGCAGCTCAAGCAAAGCCTCAAAGATTCCAACATGGCTGAGAGGCTTACCTCGCCACCAACTGGAACTCTAAATGCTGAAACCAGAGCGGTGATCAATAAATCTTTACCCCCCATCAATTCTCACTGATTGCATTTTGTCCTTACAGATGACAAAATCTTATAAATGTTCTTTATTTCACTCAATTTAACAAGATACTGTGCACTTTAGTTACATATGTAACAGACAAGTTTAGATTTTAAGGAATAAGTCATGCAAAAATCCACTTTTTGGACCTTTAGTTACCTTTTCACTAAGTTCCCTCATTAAAATTTCACTCTAGACCCCCCAGATCAGGTGCACACCCGTCTCGTCTTCAAGACCCAGCTCTCCAGATCAGCACCTTCCTAAACTCTACTGCAATCTTTGTGCACTTCCTTCTTCCTCACCATGTCTGCCCAGTGTTCTGTCCTATAATTAGCCATTAGCCTCATAATGAGTTCAAAACCAAATGACAAAATGATTTTTGATGTATGAGTAAAATGTAGATCTTAGCAGTGGAAACTAGCTTCCATGTTGAAATTTGCTTAAAATAATAATTTGCTTCAAGTTATGAGAAGCTAACTTGATTTCAGCAGCTTCAATTAAAATAACCAAAATAAAATTTGTCAATGCAAAGAATTTTATTTAATGAAGTGATGTCAATGTTCTTCCTCATCTTCCTCTCCCAAATTGTCGGTCCCCACCTCTTTGTAATCTTTCTCCAGAGCCGCCAGTCCTCCCTGGCCTCAGAGAACTCCCCCTCCTCCATTCCCTCACCCACATACCAATGTGCAAAGGCTCGCTTGGCATTCATCAGATCAAACTTGTGGTTGAGCTGAGCCCATGCCTCTGCGATGGCGGTGGTGTTGCTGAGCATGCAAACAGTCCTCTGGACCTTGGCCAGATCTTCACCAGGAACCACGGTGGATGGCTGGTAGTTGATGCACACCTTGAACCCAGTGAGATACCAGTCCACAAACTGGATGCTGCGCTTCGTTTTGATGGAAGCGATGGCTGCGTTGACATCTTTAGGCACAACGTCACCACGGTACAGCAGGCAGCAGGCCATGTATTTGCCATGGCGAGGGTCACATTTCACCCTTCTGATTGGCTGGCTCAAAGCAGGCGTTTGTGATCTCTGCCACAGTCAGCTGCTAGTGGTAGGCCATCTCAGCAGAGATGACGGGGACGTAGGTGGCAAGAGGGAAGTGGATCCGAGGATATGGCACCAGGTTGATCTGGAACTCCGTCAGATCAACGTTCAAAGCGCCGTCAAAAAGAAGGGAAGCAGTGATGGACACAATCTGGCTGATCAGCCTGTTCAGGATGGTATAGGTGGGATGCTCAATGTCCAGGTTCCTGCAACAGATATCGTAGATGGCCTCGTTGTCTACCATGAAGGCACAGTCAGAGTGCTCCAGGGTGGTGTGGGTGGTCAGAATAGAGTTGTAGGGTTCCACCACAGCAGTGGACACCTGGGGAGCCGGATAGACCGAGAACTCCAGCTTGGACTTCTTGCCGTAATCCACAGAGAGATGCTCCATCAGCAGGGAGGTGAAACCAGAGCCGGGGCCTCCACCAAAGCTGTGGAACACCAGGAATCCCTGAAGACTAGTGCACTGGTCAGTCTGAGGAGGAAACGTCCATCAATTCACATCACTTTGAGGATAATCATTAAAACTGCTCATACATTTACCAGTTTGCGAATCCAATCAAGCACCAGGTCGATGAGCTCTTTACCGATGGTGTCCGCGGGCGTAGTTATTGGCAGCATCCTCCATAACGGTGATCAGCTGTTCAGGGTGGAACAGCTGGCGGTAGGTTCCAGTACGCACTTCATCTGAAGACAACATGACCGCATTTACTGGGGACTGGATCAAACAGTTCAGATCAGCTCAGGTTAGCAGTAAAGTCATTACCAAGCTCTTTGTTCCCATCTTTATACACCACATGCATGTTGCTCTCGTTCACAACAAATTAGAAACGATCCCTTGTAGGGCGGATCTAGAATAGAATAGAATAGACTTTGTTGTAATTGCTCATGGCAATTAAATTACAGATGGTCCGCCATCAACAGCGCACAAGACAATAAATGTGAAAACCATAAAGGGCTAAAAACAATTTAAAAACATTTAGCAACAACAAGAAAGTGCAACCAGTGATTCGGATCTGCTAAAACAATAAGTTAAAATGATTTAAAACAGATTAGTCCACATTACTGATGGGGCTGTGGGGGGTTGAATGGTGCTGTTGTGTTGAATGTTCTGATGGCCCAAGGGAAGAAGCTGTTGGAAAGTCTGGTGGTATGTGATTTAACTGACCTTAAGCGGCGCCCTGAGGGCAACAGTGCAAACAGGCAGTGGGCAGGGTGGGTGGGGTCACAGAGGATAGCAGCGGGTTCTGGAGATGGCCTCCAGGGATGGCAGGGTGCAGCCAATAATCCTCTGGGCAGTGTTTACTGTCCTCTGAACAGCCTTCCTGTCCTCAGCAGTGGAGCCTGCATACCACACACTTAGAGAGTAGGTGAAGGTGCTCTCCACGGAGCAGTGGTAGAAAGCCAGCAGCAGTTTCTGATCCAGGCCACACCTTCTCAAGACCCGGAGAACGTGCAGCCGCTGCTGAGCTTTTTTAACCAGAGCTCTGGTGTTGGCAGACCAGGACAGGTCAGCAGAGATGATGGTGCAGAGGAACCTGATGGAGGGGACACGGTCCACACGCTTTCCATTTATGAGGAGAGGGGCGTGTGTGTGACTGTGTCTTCTGAAAT